TGTTGTCTGCAAGAAACCCATCTCAACTTTAAGGACTGGCACTACCTTAAGGTGAAAGGATAGGAAAGAATATTTCAAGCAAATCATACTAAGAAACAAGCAGGGATTGCAATTCTAGTATCTGACAAAATAGACTTCAAAGTAAAACTAATCAGAAGAGATAAAGAGGGTCACTTCATTCTGATCAAAGGAACAATTAACCAAGAAGATATTACAATCATGAACATATACGCACCAACTCTGGTATACCCAAATTCATAAAAACACTATAAGATTTTAAGACACAGATTAACCCCAACTCAGTAATAGTAGGGGACTTCAATACTCTACTGTCTCCATTATACAGATCAACCAGACAAGGGATAAATAGAGAGGCATTTAAATTCATTGATACCATACATCAAATGGACCTAACAGAAAATAGGTGTATTCTAACCATTGTTCTGCTCTGTAAATATGCTTCTCTGCTTGGAATTCCAGCTCATGGCCACCCTTTGACACATAGGTTGGAGACCCTTGTGCATGACTCTGGTCACATAGACCCTTGTGCCTGCTCCACACTCATGTAGACCCCATGTCTCCTGTGCCCATCAATGCAGGAATGGGTCTGGAATGATGCTAAGTTGCCTATAAATACTGTAGGAAAACTGCTACCTGTGCTCAGACTTTTGGAGATGACTCCAGTAAACCTACCAGTGAATAAATCAGTTTCTGTTTTTATGATCCTCCACCCAGTCTGAGATGCCTGTTTGAATTGTGGCAACTTCCCAGCCTCACTTTCCCTTCATACAATGACTCAGCAGATGATTCTAGACTTAATTAATTCCTCCCTTACCAGCTGTGCCACCTTGGGCAGCTTGGTCTTCATCTCTGATCATCTATGCTTCAGTTTCCTTTTCTGGAGATAGTCTGGAAGCAGGGATGGTATGAGGTTTTATTATAAATATGTGCTTACTTGAGGTGGATCCTGAACTGATCACAAGGGACCACAACCAGCACTCTACAGTGTTCTGTGTTGCTGAGCTGAGGAATTCTGTGGGCAATGTGTACTTGGTGCATTTTCAACTTACAATGTCTTCCATTGACTATGGGTATTTCGGGATGCCCTGCCTGTAAGTCAAAGAACATTCATATTTACAAAGATCTGGGAGGTAGATAGGGAAGCTTAAAGGGTCCATTCAGTGCCTCAGAGCTGAGGACAGTTGTCCCAGTGATCTCCTCTGAGGCTATGTGGAAAAGACTTCCAGGTGGAAGCAGCAGCCAGGCCCTGGAATGCAGCAGGAGATTGACTAGGAAGGAAAGTCAAGCAGTAGCCCTAACCCACAACCAGCCCAGCGTGCAGTCCTATGGGTCATACTCGGATCCCAGCCTGCTGACCTGACAGAGTGAAGGAGAGGCCAAGGCAAGCTGGGAGTGCAAAAGGATAATCTGCCTTAATTTCAACCAAACTTGAAGATAGCTGCTTCCCTTTGTAAGCTCATCTCGGTCTACCACCTTTCCCCATGCTCCCCTCCCCTCTCCTCCTCACTTCTTCCTTTTTATTGTCCATCTCTCTTTTTCTCCTCTCCCTTCCCCCTTCCTCCTCTTCCTCCCCCTCACCCCTCTGTACTTCTTTCCCTAGCCCCACTTCTGACTTTCCTAATGGTTTTCCAGACAGAATCCTCTTCCCTTTTGACTCAGACTAGGGGACTTGGGCCGGAGCGAGGAAGGTATACAGTTGTCTATGTTTGGGGAGGCTGACACTCTGTTGGCAGCAAGTAACACACACAGGGGACCCAGGGAAGCAGAATACCTAGCTCCCATCTCTACCTGGTGTTCCTGGCCATCTGGAACCACCAGCCAAGTCAGTGCCTGCTGAATTTCCCAGTGGACAGGGTCTGTCTGGGGAATGGAGGGAACTGTTCTCTGGGTGTGCATTTATGCATATAAGAGAGGAGACTTGTTGGTCAGCCAGAATAGAGACAGAATTTCAGGTGATCAATGAGGAAGGAGAAATGTGCTATAAAAGGCTTATATGTGGTGGCCTGATCTCACATTGTAGATTCTCTCCCCGCCGTAGACAATATGGAGGATCAACTATAGGCTGGTGCCTGGGACAGGCCCTGGGAGGGAACAAGTTCACACCCTGGACCTTCTGAGATGGCACCTTCCCTGAGTCCCACTAGATTGCTAGGAAGAAGTTGCATTGTCACCCCGCCCCATGGCTCCAGACAGACTGACATGAAGATGGCCTGGATAGGGGTCAGGGCTGGAGGTTGCTAGAGCATCCTTTAGAAGCCCAACTTATTGGCCAGATATGTCACCAAGTCTCAGAGGGAGGAAGCGGTTCCCCAGAGTCATATGGTGTATCCCCCATGCTACTTCTCAACAGTTCTGCCTGTAGACAATTTACTCTGTTTCTAGACTCCTCCTGCTCAAGGATGGTTTTATTCCCCACTTAAACAATTAAGCTTTAATACAACAAAACCAGATCATTATCCTCCACAGGTTTTAAAAGCAGGATTACTATTTGAAATACAAGCAATTAGCTAGCTTCTGGCTCTCCTTCCTTCCCTCTTTCCCACCCAGCTCTGCTTTTTGTTAGGTAGCAGAGGGCTGGGCCATGAGAAGTGGTGGTCACAGCAGTTGTCTGGCAGGAGAGGGTACTGGTAACTTAGAAGCTGGGGAATGCCCAAGGAAGGGAGGGACAAGGGCTGAAGGGGGAAGTGGGGTTCACACCATTATGGAGAGTTTCTATTTACCAGGGCTGGCTTGGCTCTGACATCATGGGGCCATCCCAGTCTCTACGGCTTCCTGGAACATGTCAGAGCTCTGTGAAGTGTGAATCAAATAGTAACATGTGTGCAAAAAGGATCTTTGAAGTGTCTGCAAGCCTTCTGCATTCAAATAGAAGATCTAGGTGGTTTTTAATTGTTCTAGAAGTAAGTCCCCAAATTTCTAGTGGACAGAGGGAGGTTGGCTTGTTTTGTATTTGTTTTGTTATGAAGTCACATAAAGCAGAGGATGTAAGGTGTGTGTGCATTCTGTAAAGAATAAGGAGAAAGACTGGAGAGGTGGCTCAGCTGGTGAAATGCCAGCCTTGCGGGAGGACCTGAGTTGGGCCCTGAGACCCCCAGTCAAAAAGCTGAGTATGGTGGCATGTGTTTATAATCCCAGTGCTGGGAGGTTGAGACAGGGATAACTAGGATTTTCTGGCATGCCAGTCTAGTTGAGTTGGTGATTTCCTGGACCTGTGAGAGACCCTGTCTGAAAAAAAAAAAAAACAAAAACAAAAACAAAATGTGGGTGGACAGTGACTGGGGATTGAGGAAGACACCCAAGGTCAACCATGAGCATGCATGCATGAACACTAAAGGATAATGGAGCAAATGCTGCTGTTACTAACCCATATTGAGCAACAGGATACACTTGATGTCTTAGAAGCCTCCTGTGTGGCCCCCAATCTCCAGGCTGTATCCCCTTCCCCCTACAGTTCACTTTACTACTTTCTTTATAGTTTCACACCCATCAGCCTGTTCCAAAACAGCACACTTCTCAGTCGTGCCTGTTTCAGAGCCCTCCATAACTTTGTACTGTAAATACCACTCACTCCTCCAGAGCCACATGACTGGTAACAGCTGAGTCCGAGGCTTGTCCTTCTCCTGGGCTCTCCAGCTTCCCATCACAAGGCTCAGCTACATCTCGTGGACTCTGGGCATTTGTACTGTGCCTAAGCTTTACTATCAACAATGCAAGACTTCTCTAAGGAAGAAAAGGGTGTGGGACTGTTGGGTGACAAGGCACATGCATACTCACTTTCACTGCATAAACTTAAACAACTAAGCTTCCGTACCCCCCCCAAACCAGCCTGTTACCCCCAATATGGTTTAAAAAGCAAGTGTACTATCAGCAACCAAATATTTTCTGCAATACTCATACTAATATGAGTCCCCCACATCCTTTAACAGAGCTGCTTTGGTGGAAACTTCATTTTTGCTACTTCAAAGTGCTGTAGATGGACACCACACACACACACACACACTGAAACACACACAAACTCACACACGCATGCACGCACACATTCATGCACACACACACACACACACACACACACACGTGCTCATGTGTGTATCTGATTAGTAAGACAGAGAGCTTTGTCTATGTTTATTGACCAGGAGGGCGTCCTTTCTGTGGAATACAGGTCAGGTCCACAGTGGTGCTGGGTTTTTTGTTGTTGTTGTTGTTGTTGTTGTTGTTTTAATTTTGTTGATTCATAACATATTTTTTTCCCAAAGCACATTCTAGAAATCAATTCTCTGCAGTTCTACAAGTTGCAAGTAACTCTCACACTTTGGGTTTGTGTCATTTGCATTTTCAAAGCTTCCATGGCTCCAGGGAAGTCTCAGAACTTTCCACTTATATTATATTATGAGTTCATTTAATTTATATTGTAGGTTGTATAAACAGGAAGCCCATGGGCCAGAAACCTCAAACTTTCATTAAGCTCACTGACATTACAACACATCAAGCCAGAAGCCAAGACGTTACATGACGGCTGGGGAGGTGGTTCAGTCAATAAAGAACTTTCCTGGCATGTACAAAGCTCTAGGTTCTAGCACCTCATAAACTAGGTGTGGTAGTGCACTGTTGTGATTCCAGCATTCGAAAGTAGAGCCAAGAGGGATCAGAAGTTCAAGTCTACCCTCTGTTATATAATGAGTTTGAAGCCAGGTTGGAATACAGGAACCATGTATTTTTTTTTTTTAAAGGAAATAACACATTCAAAGCCAAACTGTTTATCTTCTCTTGAAATTTCAGACTCACTGAGCCTGAAGCTCCAGCCTGAGTCGGGGGTGCCCTGTGTCACCCTCTTCCTGACTGCTGTTATAGATTCTTGTTGCTATCTCAAAATACTTGGACAAAAAAGCAACTTAAGGGAGAAAGAATTTATTCTGGCTCACAGTTCAAAATACAGTCCATCATTGGGAAGGGGGGATGTTGAATGAGAATGTCTTCCACAGGCTCCGAGTATCTGAGCATTTTGTCCCCAGTTGGTGCTGCTGCTTTGGGAGATCTTAGAAGGTGTGGCCATGCTGGAGGAAGCACGTCCCTGGGGTTCGGATTGCAGAGTTCTGAAGCCTTGCCAGATCTTCAGTTGCTCTCTGCCTCCTGTGTGCGCTTGAAGATGAGAGTTTAGCCTCTGCTCCCACTCCAGCCACCTCTGCCACCATGACCACCTGCCATGATGGACTCTTGCCCTTTTGGAACTGTAAGCTAAATAAACTCTTCCTTTTATAAATTCCCTTGGTCATGGTGTTTCTGTCACAGCAAAAGAAAAGTTACTAAGAGGCGTGGGGGTGTCAAGGCAGCAGGAGCTTGCTTGAAGCAGCTGGTATAGTGTATCTGTATTCAGAAGCAGAGAATGCTGTTCAGCTCCCTTTCTCCATATATACAGTCCAGGACCCCCTGCCCAGGACATGGTCCTACACATAAAGACAGGCCTTCCCATATCAATTAATATAGTCAAGATAATCCCTCACAGGCATGCCCAGAGGCACATCTCCCAGGTGAGTCTAGATCCCCGCAAGTTGGCAGTTAACACTATCACACCCAGGGTGTAATGCCACTGGCCACTTTGGGCCAACATGGTGGTTTCCCTCCACACCCTGGTTCAGTTCTCCAAAGTACCACAAGCACACACACTTCTTTAGCACCCAGTCACTCTTACTAAGGGCTGTGTTCACTCCTGTGGTGGCTGCTGTAAGAAACAAAAGAAACCAACAGCCTTTTCTGTTTGCAGATTCAACTCACTGCAGATTACCTCACCTCACCTCTGCACACCGGCAGCTGATACTTCAGTGGATACCAGTTCTATTAATTTTTCATCACTGTGAGCAAATGCCTGACAGAAACAACTTAGGAGAGGAGAGATTGTCTTTGCTCATCATTTAGGAAGGATCCCCCCATGATCACTTGGGCCCCTGCACTTGGGAAGAAGGTCACGGCAGTGGGAATACATGGGGAAAGGCTTATCACCTCCTAGTGGACAGGCAGCAGAGAGGAAGAAAGGCCCAGGGACCTATAACCTAACACCCTCAGTGACCCACTTCCTCAAGGAAGGCCTCACTTCCTGAAGTTTCCACAACCTCCCAACACAGCACCACCCAATGGGGATCAGGCCTTCAACATTGGAGACTGTGGGGGACATTTCATATTCAGACCAGAACACCAACAGAGTGTCCCCAACTCAGCCCATGTCTGACAGCGCTCTCCAGAGATAGTGTCAGCTCTCAAAGGTTAATGACTCAGGCTCATAAGGCTACCCCACAACAACTCCAGGTGCCAGTGCCAAGCCCCAGAATTACTGGCTTTACTTGAGGTCATCCGGGTGACTCCCCATAGGTTCAGTCCCTGATTCTTAGGGACTTGAGAATCACTTGGTGCTTCCTGGTGTAGTATAAGACATTTCAGGGGCTGGAAAGATGGCTCGGTGGTTAAGAGCATGGGCTGAGCTTCCAGAGGACCTGGGTTTGGTTTCCAGCTCCTACACGGCAGCTAACAACCATTTGTAACTCCAGTTCCAGGGGATCCGATCCCCTCTTCTGGCCTTCTTTCAAAAGCTACAAATGCAGATGTTGATGGAAAATATGCTTAGAGAAAGGTAAAGATGAAAGGCAGAGCCTCTCTAGCAGTCTACTTTGTAGGCATTTCCATATGTTCATCAGTCCAGAAGCTTCCAAAGCCAGCAGCACAGGGGTTTTAATCAACGCTGTACCATAGGAGCGGAATGGACCACTAACTCCACCTCTAACTTCTTCCTTTCTTGGAAAAGTCCCAAGCTTCCAAACATGGTGCAGTCTACTGGTAACCAACCCCACACTTAAACTATACAGACCCCCCCCAAGAGTCACCCAGAAAACTCAGAGCTCTGTTCAAACTGGGAATGGAGACCCAGTATCAGAACTAAAGATGCTCCTAGCACCCAAGTTGCACAGGGAATGATGATGATCTCAGGAGCCAGAGACCAGATCCATATTTCTCATCCTATCTCAACATCTTAGTCATAACCGTGTGGCTCTGAGGGTGCTCGTAGCAGGGTCACTATGGACAGTTGATTTCATATTAGCTTCTGACCTGAAGATCAAGGCCTATGATGCTTAACTCCTTAAAGGGGACAGAGAGAAGAAGGTCCCAGGAAGGACAAGTCTTTGTCATCTGGGAGACACCGTGGTGACCAACACAGCTGCAGCTATGAGCTTTGGAGCCTCTTCAGAGAGTGCCTGTCCCCTTGATCTGCAGCAAGTAGAAAGGGGAAAATGATCCTAGACATATCTGATTTCCTATTTATGCAGAGACCACTTTATTTGCATCTCATTTGCATCTATTCGTTGGCTGAATCTTGAGGGGCTAAACTCAGAGATAAAATTATACATCCTGACAGTTCACACAGAATACTGAGGTCTTGACAGGGCTTAAAGCTCAGTGATGCTCTGAGCCACCTCTGGAAGGGCCAGCTCTTACGTGCAGCTTGTTTTTTGAGCATACACCATATGCTAGCTGCTATGGTAGAAACTGGAAGTGCAGGGTCAGATTTTAGCCTAACTCGACTGTATGGTGTAGCAACGGAGTTCTTATTTCCAAGAACTAGGAATGCATATTGGTCTGGGTGATGACCTGTGGCAGAATACCATCAAAGTTGGCACTCTGGCTTTGGAGCCCAGGTCTGCCCTTGTCACTTGGCTATTCTTGGACAAGGTACTCACCAGAGCTTTGATTTTTCTGTCAGTAGAATGAGAATAACTCAACAGCTTCAGCCTAAGGTTTCTGTGAGGATACAGGGTGCTGAGTAGTGATGCCCTCAGCACAGGGTGCCTCCAAACGGGAGCAGGGGGAACCAGGTATAAAGTTAGTCTAATGTTCACATCTCATGTCCCCCTTGTCCCCCACTGAAGTGGCCTCTCTTGTCATTAACCATTTCTATAGCCTTGATTACCAGCTACCACCCCACCCCAGCAGGAACATGCAAATAGCTGGGGACTGGATGGGCTGAGATGTCCATATAATGGTGGCATCATATGAGGGGGCACTGGGCTGGATATGTTTTTTTCCAGTATTGCCTGTTCTTGTACAAGAAACACCAGGTCAAGATGCTGATATCCAAGTGCATCCGGGTATTTTCCAGTGTTTTCCTCTTGTCCCACTAGCTTGAGGTCACCAAGGAAGATGGAGATGCTCCGGTCCCCACAAATAGCTGAGGCGTGCAGGACCTCCACCAGGGGCCCTCAGAAGGGTGTCCCTGGAGAGATGTGTGCAGCAGCAGTTTCTGAGCTGTCCAGACAAGTCTAGAAACTAGTCACATAAAGAACTTTCTGGACCTGGGGAAATGGCTTAGTCAGTAAAGCACTTGCCTTACAAGCATGAGGGCCTAAGTTCGATCCCACTCATATATAAAGCTAGGAATGGTGACATGGCACTTGTAATCGCAGCGATGGGGAGATGGGAGACGGAGACTGGTGGATCCCTGGAGCTTGCTGGTCAGTTAGTCTATCCTATTTGGTGAGGTCCCAGGCCAATAAGAAATCTTGTGTTTCCAAAATTTCTATCCTGGGGAGATATAAGCACCTACTTCCTCCTCTTAAGGTTCCAACAACCAACCAAAGTATGATTCCACCAAAGTTCAGCTTGGGGAACCAATGACTTCACTGGATGTCCTTACAGAGCATGGGTGAAGGGTTGCTGAGAGGAGCGTAGGGGATCCTGAAGCAACTGCACTGGAAAGTCTTCACCCAGCATGGATGATGGCATCCTCATAGCCGCACACATGATTAACTCCCACAGTCTATGTACTCTGGTACTTCCTGAGACCCCAAGGCCACAGGCAATTAGAGCAGAATTACACACAAATAGCTGGGAAGAACCACTAGAATCTCAATTAAGGGTCCAAAGGTACCTCCTCCGACCCTCCCATCCCCACTTTTCTGAGAAATGTCAACAGTCAGTAAGCTCTATTGGAGGGACTATAAGCAAGCACAGCTGATCTAATGAAGACAGTAGTTGATTTTCTCAGAGGACCCTTTTCTACAACCTCTTCTCAGAGAAAGAGAAGGAACCCAAGGAATGACAACCCAACCCAAGGTTGTCTTATGACCTCCACACAGACCTGTACATATATGTGGCTTTACAGCTGGGCTTCATGGTCTCTCTCTCTCTCTCTCTCTCTCTCTCTCTCTCTCTCTCTCTCCATTCCCTTTCTGCTCCCAAGTTTAATTCGCCAATTCTGGCTGACTGGGTTTGTGCTCTCTAAACATACCTCACTGGTGGCCCCTTGGACGTGGAGGCCAGCCCACCTGTTCCTGGCCCCTCTCTGGTCCTCCTCTGTGTTCGTAGAATCTGCTCTGGTCTACAGCCCTCACCTGAAGTGGCTTCCTGTCTTCACAGGAACACTCATATTTGTCCCTTTCTTGGGGTGCTCTCTCCCCAGCAGAATGTGGCTCCTCCTAAGAGGCACAGCCTCCACTTTCATCTCTCTCCCATTAGGGGGGCTCTTGTGGCTCTGCCTCTGCCAGCAGCAGCCAGATTCACCCAAGGGCTCTATGCAAAGGGTGACACCTGACACACGTAGCTGTGTTTAGCACAAACTATATGGGCTCAGGATTCTGACCTTGGGTTGACTGAAGCTATCTGTAACTGTAGAACTGATCACACATTATCTTTCTATTAGATAATTTTTTTAAAAAAAATTATTTATTCTTGTTTTTATTTTATGTGTATGAGTGTATTGTCTGTATGTGTGGTGAGTGTACCCATGTCATGCAATGCCATGGAGGTCAGAAGAGGGCTTCAGATTCCCCTGGAACTGGAGTTAAGGATGGTTTGTAGCTGACATGTGGGTTCTGGGAATCGAACCCGGGTCCTCTACAAGATCAGCCAGTGCCCTTAACCACTGAGCCATCTCTCCAGCCCTCTATTAGGTAATTTCAAGAAAAAATTCAAATGGTAATGGGAAAATGAAAACTGGCTAGCATAGCTTTGCTTTACCTCTCCTCCTTCTCTGCTAC